TGATATGAGACACTCAGTGCTTACTCAGATTTTGGTACATGTTCTGTGTTACTTCTGTGAGAGTGAGGAAGAGCGGCAAAGCATCTTTAGTGAATTAAAAATGGCAGGAGGATGACATAGAAATTGTAACACATGGCTCCTAATTTTGAGGTTATTATCACAACCAGGAATGCTGGATACGTTATTCTTATCAAATGGAACTTTAGACTTTCTCCAGCAATGCCAAGGGAATAGCTATGAGCAGTTTTGAATCTAGATCATCAGTTGTTGAAGATCTCTTCTTATAGCAATTAAATGAGTATATGCTTACGCCATGCAGATGGGGAACCCAGTAGGAGCGCCCAGCCTTCTTGTGCAATGCAGAGTGATGGCTTTTGTGAAGGGTTCATTTTCAATTTCTTGTATTCTTATAAAACATTTTCTACTGAGACATTGTGAAGAATTCAAACCTTGCTGAATATTTCAATTCATTTGCCTGGATTTTACCATTTAATTTTTCTTCCAAGGCTACAACATTTACATTTGCCTTTACAGTAAAATTCTGTAAAATTCCTTGTAGGGTCAAAATTGTAACTTAAATTATTTTGTGGCTGGGCACAGAATAGCATTGTTCTTTGCACGTCCAGCCAAATTTTCAGCAAAGATGGGACCTATTTTAAACATAAGCAGTCTTACTGCTTAACTCACAGGAAAAACTGTGAATAATAAAGGTGCCTTGCTTTATCTTTTTACCTTTCATATCAAGCTCATACCCAACATTATTAAAGACTGTCAGTGGTTCCAAGAGCACGTTGCAACCTCAGGTAGATCCCAGCAGTAAACTATGCTAAAGGCACATTTGTGCAAGTGTTAATAAAGTATTAATAAATCCATGCTACGTGGGAGTTATGTTGCAGGGTAGGCACTGACAGAGAGATCTAAGTCACTTACCGCACTGGCCAGAATCCATATGCTCAACTGTTGTGTGGATGACAGTTAAGAAAGAGGAATCAAGCTTTAACACAAGACGTTTTAACATTTCTTGATGCATTTCTGAACATAAGCAACAATGTTTTATACATTATTTCAAGTAACTCCTCCAAAGTCACATTTCCCTTGACAACAACCTTATTTTGCGGCATGTGTAAGAAGGACATTTGCCCATCAGGAAAGAAGTCAATCGAAGGAAATACATACATAAGTAAAACAGAAAGAACATAGCCCATAAAAACAAAGAAGAGAAATAAACGTTAAGGAGAACTAGATGGAAAAAATTACTAGATGGAAAAGGTCAGTGGAAAAGATCACAGAATCATAGAATCATAGAATCATAGAATTGCTCAGGTTGGAAAAGCCCTTAAAGAACATCAAGTCCAACTGCAACTGAACCATGCTACCCTAACTCTAACAACCCTCCGCTAATCATGTCCCTGAGCACCACATCCAAATGGTTTTTAAACACATCCAGGGACGGTAATTCAACCACCTCCCTGGACAGCCTATTCCAGTGCTTAACAACCCTTTCAGTAAAGAAGTTTTTCCTAATATCCAACTTAAACCTCCTCTGGAGCAACTTGAGGCAAAGATGTGCAAATGGAGTGGGACTATAGTGTTGGTTAAAGTGATCCCAGCACTTTCAAGAATGTGGTGGGGTAAAGGAGCAGCTCAGTGTTCTCAGCTACCTTCTGTAGATCTGATTGTTAGTCTGGATCCTGCAGCCAGGGAAGAACAACATAATGTAAAAAGAATGGAAGAAAACAATGTGAAGGAGAAAAAGAGCTGACAGAACTGAAAAATGATAACTGAGAGAAATAGGGAGCAGAGAATGAGAGACCAGCGAAGTAGGGGGGACAGACAGATGAACAAAGGGAGAAATTATCACATTCAGCAAAAAGTAGAACAAGCTTTTGGTACAAAGTGCGGGCATCTGAGGACTTTGGCCTCTAATCTACTCCTGATGTTCTGTTTGTCTAAGACCCATGCCCGAGAGCAATATCCAAAAGAGCTCAGGCTTCCACTGCGTGTCATTGACATCAAAAGAAGTATTAAAGTGATTCTTGCAGAATTTCTGGCCTGATTCTCTTAGTGCTAGGAGGTTTGACTGAGGTTTAGATAAGCCACCTGGAAGAAAAGTTAACTATCTTAAATATCTATTGTTTACCCATATATGTAACAATATAGGGTTTATTGGAAAATGACCTTGGGGCTTTTTGCAAGCAATTCCTATTTTCTAGTCAATCCTATGGGTATTTTACCTTTACACAGGCAGAACCAGTGCTACTCTGATGTCTGAAATTCCCTCAAAACAATGCAACTACAGTAAGACTAGAAGAGCACAACATACAGCATCTTAAAGGGGGTGACAAAATGGGGCAGCATGGGTCCACATGTGGAAGTGAATGATGATATCAAATAAAGGTATCAAATAAAGGTGGGTTATCCCTCATGGGTTAGTGGAAGCAAATCTTCACTAATCTCTTGGTCACACTCAGAACCCTAGAATTTCTCACTGAGATACTGTGCTCTGTCTGTGCTCTACTTCTAGGTTCAACTCACTGCAGTATGTTGGCATGTTGTCCTGGCATAAGGTAGAAGGGATAATCTGGAAAAACAACACAACAGCAAGTGAACAATGGGGAATCGTGAGAGGGAAGAACATTTGTGGTCTTAATGCAAAATATAAGGTGTAAATCTGATGAATTAGAATCTCCTGATTTACATCCCAACAAGAAAGATACAACAGTAAAATATGTTTTGGCTGATATAGTTTGTTTTGCCAGCTGAGGATAAATTAATTTCTATGTATTGCTAGAATTGTGTGTAGTGATACAGAGTTGCTCTGAAAATGTTTGAACTTGGATACCATTGTGGCACATAGAGTGATAGTAAAGGGGAGGAGTGTACAAGGAAGGGTGTGAAAGCAATTAACCATGAGATTGTTAGTAGGCAGAGAATTAGAGAGTTCTTTGCATGACAGGGACAAGGAGTTCATTAAGGCACATGCTATTTATTTTAATATTGTTCATGATCTGACTTGTACTAAAATTATAAATAGGCCAAGTGTGAGTGACCCAGAACAATTTGGCTTCTTTCCTAGCTGGATTTAATCTCAGTTCATGTTGTCCTCCTTCCTACTCATTTTCAGCCTCCAGGAGCAGCACTGCCAACATTAGAGATTTCCCTCTTGAGGTTTGCACCTAACCTTTTGCTTCAAGGTTTAGAATTCAGCTCCTGGAGTCTTGTGTTTTTCATGATATACAGTTGTTTTTCAAGGGGTTTCAGGAGCACCTTCTCTTTCACAGTTATATTCTATGTCAATAGGCATGGTACTGTGCTGATGTAACTATCTTGGAACAATGACTCCATTACAAGTCCGTATTTGGAGATGAGTTGAGTTATAACTTTGCCCAAGTTATATCAACCAGGCCCCAAATCAAGTGGCCAATGGGAGGAGGGGATTGTAGTGATATAACAATATCTTTTTTAATTTGAATGTTCGGTTATGCCAAAAAAATAATCCCATGTAGGCAAGACCTACATTTTTCGTCCTCAGGGCCATGGAGAAAGTGTGACTCAAGTGTATAGAAAAGGCTTAGATACCAGAAGGCAAATAAAAATAACCCCAGTTGTGGATTTTTTTTTTCCAATTTCATTATTTTTGTGCCAGTCTCAAGGTTTTGGGGGCCTGAACTCTGGATTTGTGAGCCCTCCGGGATGGCAGAAGTATTGACTATAATTGGTAAAGGGACTCTGCCTACTTATGTGTTCATACAGAAGTCAGTACTAAAGTGCTTCCACCCAAATAATCTTTCTGGTCCTGCTAAAGTGCAAATAAAGAATTAATATTAGTAAAACACACACATCCCACTTCTAGGTGAACACTTAGTACATGTCCACTATCTCTGCCTATCTCCCCTGTTCAGATTAGAGCTATATCCTCCCACTCTTTGCCTTTATTTTTTCAGAAGTCCTTATCCTGACATTTTTATGGCTCTGGGTCACTTTTAACACTGGGGTAGATACAGATTGTATGTACCTTTCTGCGTGTGTGGATTCCTGATGCTTCAGCAGGTGTATTTATACATGTGATGTGCTGTGAGTTTACAGAAAAGTCCAAAGGAAGATGAGTCATGCTAGCTCTTCTGCAAGGAAAAGGGCAAAAAGGCTAAAGATAATGCTTGCTGCCTTCTTAAAAATAGGCTATAAAATAAATGCTACTCCTGTGTAGGTTCATGCAAAAAGTTGCATGTTAGAGAAATAGTAATTAACTGATTTATGTGTGGCTCTAGAGCTGAGTATGTTCCAGCTCACGTGCCATGATTTTCTGGTAATGAATTATTGAATTAATATAAGTAGCTGTTTCCTTTTGTCCAAAAATCTATAATTATGAGAAGATGCAGATCCAGAACTTAATGGATGCTGTGGTTCAGCCCATACTTCTGTGATAGTTCTTGTGAGGTGAAGCTTCTTTTATCAATTTCCAGCTGTGTTAGACACTTCACATCACACAGTTCTTCTAAGAAATGCTTATGAACATTTCTAGGAGCCACTATATTTTTTCAGGATGCTTATCTAGGGAACATGCAAATTGCACAAACATCCTTGTGAACTTGGAAAGAAACCTAACAGGCTGCTGAGCTGAGGTAACGTTCATCATTAATTGCTCTGCAATAGTACATCAGAGGGAGTCTCCTGGGTGAACCAAAGCCATGGTCAAAAATTAGTTCCAGCCTGGGACATAGATGTTTCATGTGCAATTCTCCATTTGACAGTTGCTATTTGAAGCTATGTACGTTGTTCTGAAAGTACTGCCACCTATTTTTTTCAATAGAAACTACAACAGATACAAAGAGCACAATAACACTATCTGATAGAGCAAATTCTCATCTAGAAAACACTATTTTACAACATAATCACTGCCATTAGCTATGCATTTTCACCAGCAATGGACAAGAGCTTGCATGCAGTGCTTGTAAAAGATCTGCACCACTGTTTCACAGCTGCTATGAAGTCATTGTTACCAGAAAATTGTTGTCAATCTTTCATCAATCCAAGTTGTGTTGCAAAAGAAAGGTTGTCTTCTCCTGCCTGTCTCTGGAACTCATCACCTTCAGCTTGTCATGATATAGTGGTCAGAGTAGCCCTCATATTTCAGAATGTCTGTAATAAATAGGATTAGCAAAGTTTTATCCCCATTCATGATTTTTTAAAAACAAACATCAAATCTAAAAAGTATAGTATGGCATCACTATCAACATGTAATCTGGTTGCTATTCAATTAATAAGTCTTCCAACCTCTCTTTTTATTATGTACGCTGAAAATTTTAAGGGCACAACGGTATCAATCCAGGTGTTCAATTTAGTATCACAACTTCATAGGACTGATCCCAGTAATTCAGGTGTATTTAGAAAACTTCAAAACCATATATTTTGTGCCAGATTGAGGGGGCATAGTTACCATAAAGAACATTACAAACAGAAATAATGCTTTGAACTCAGCACTTTTTTTCTGTTTCAGAACTCTCCTGCTCTTCATCAAACCTAATAAACTAGTATGGCATTTAGTATTAAGAGCCTCACTTTTAAAAAAGCCCTTCAACAAATTTTAGGAAAAACAGCTCAGATATTAGACTGTAAATGCAAGCAAGGCCATATGTAGATGTTTTTCACACCACTGCCTTATCAGTAATATGTTTTTTCCTTAGCAGTTCCTATAGGAAAATCTGGTGTTCTCTGCTTTCTCTGCTGTCTTTATCATGTCTGGGGGGAGGGAAAGTGTTGTGCTTTGGTGTGAATTTTTGCTTCAGCAATAATAAAAGGTGATATTAAAATGTCACTGCAGTCTTTTAAATGCTTGTTTTCCATGAAAAGAATGATTTTTAAAAATAATTTTACAGTCTTTAACTGCTAATAATAACTGAGCTTGTTTTGATGACAGATGAATTAAAATGACGTTTTGACAACAACTCCCCATTATCAACCAACGTTTGCCCTCTGTTCTCTCTTTGTAATTATCACAATCTTTTTATTTTCCTCATCTATTCTGGGGGCTGTGCAAAGATAACAACTGAAGGCCTCGCTCTCCCAAGGCTAAGAAATGCATTGAGTTTCCTGCTCAGAAGAATTATAGAATAGTTTGAGTTGGAAGGGACCTCAAAGATCATCTAGTTCCAAACCCCCTGCAGCAGGGGTTATTTAACTTCTGCTTCAAGTGTTGAGCCAGAGCACCAGTGCCCAGTAGTGAAAGAAATCACTTATTGTCCTCAGTCCTAGAACAGGGTGGCCTGCAACGGTCAGTGAACCTGACCACTGTGGTGGTCAATGAACCTGGTGATACACCTGCTATTTTGGCAGCTGGTTGGAGTGTGTGCCTCTGGAATACAAACTATATTATTTTAAGTATGCACGTCTGCCAAAAAAGCACAGTGTGCTCCCAGCTCTGAGAGCAGCCAACAGCTCAAAGAATGCAAGGTTGGGAGTCTGTACCTCTCAAAAAAGAAAAAGCAACGTGAATAGGAATAGGCTGAAAGAAGGATGTGAGAGGCGTAGAAGGATTGGAGGCCTGATGGTCTGCGCACAGTGTCTCCACCCTGCATGGACATGTTTGCAGAAGCAGTAAGCACTTGCTGAGCTTACCTTGATCCACTGTATACCCTGAGAGGTCACTCTGCTGTTGCTGCACTTCTTCCTCACAGGGAGCAAACTGCATCTCTGCCTGGGGAGCTCCAGGCTCAGAGACTTGCTGCACCTCCACAAGTGCTTTGATATCTCTGTTTATGAATAGATGATGATCATTGTGTTCTTACTGCCAGCACATGCCCTGGGGTAACGGTCCAAGTGCTGGGGTTTCGTGTGCCAAAATGAGGAAAGTTAATTCAACACCCTTGATAACAACAATAGCGCTTAGTGCTTTGATCTTCAAAGCACTTTACAAACATTAGCTAATTAATTAATCCTTACAATACTCCTCTGCTATTATCCCCATTTAGCAGATGGGGAAATTGAGTCAGAAAAGTTAAATGACTTGCTTAAGGCTATGAAGGAGTTGGCAGCAAGGTTGTGATGGGGAATTCCTGGCTCCTCCTTGCAAATCTCCCAAACAGCTGCGGCTGCCTCAGACCTGCGGCTGCATTACCCAGGGATGCTGGACTGATTGGTCAGGCAGATTTGGACAGGTCTAAGTGCCACCTGAAGACTTGTATTATGGTGTCCACCTTTGAAGTTGTTCGGCTTGGTGAACTTGGGCACTTCCTCATACTGCAATTTCTGCATAGCTTCTGAAAGGGATTTTGCTCCTGTCTGGCCAGCCTGGCCCTGAGCTTGGTCTACCTGTACGCGTATCCAATCTCCTACCTTGTTTTGGACTCTCCTATGCTGTCTTCATGCTAGAAAATGAAGCCCTAATCCTGCTTCATAGTCAGAAAAGAGGGAGACTTGTGGGGAGAACTCAAACCCTTTAAATCTTTGTTTATAAAAGTTCCCGTATGAGGGATGAACTGAGGAATGACAAACAAGCCTTTAGGGGTGCAGACAGCCTAACTGAAGCTCTTAATTTTTGCTTATCCAGGGAGTTCTGTATCTGATAGAGTACTGAGATGGTAATTTCTTATACAGCTTAGAGATAGGATTGCTCAGGATCTATTACAAAATCAGGTTAATAAATGAACATCAAAGGAATCATCTTCTCACTTTGGCTCAAGCTAACCTAGCAAGATGATAAATATTACTAGGTTGCAAGTATGCATTAGTCAACTAAGGCTTATAAAAATACATCTGAGTCTCCAATGAACATTTTCCATTGGATTACAGCACTATTTATCATCATATGGCTGCACAAAAACATACCGCAGAATAAAATGAAGTGAAATAGTGAAAGAGAATCTTTCACCTTAACAAGATTATGAGAAATATTTTTGAGCAGATGTGTGCTAAAATAATTTGTCAAAAAGGGCACTGACTCTCTAAGATATGGAAACAACCTCTAAGTTTCAAAAGGCAATAAAGACAAAGTATTCTCCCAAAGACATGGGAAATCAGGGAAGAGTCACTGAATGGCTGAGGTTGGTAGGCACATCTGCATCTCACCTCAGTTGCTTAAAATTACATGTTTCGAGGATCACTTCTTTATTGCTATTGCCCAGCAGCCAAAATCACCAACCACTGGAAAAAAAGTGGAATCATATAATCATAGAATATCCTAATTTGGAAGAGGCCAATAAGGATCATTGAGTCCAAGGTCCCCCAAATCATGCAGAATCAGTGTCCCAGCAATTACCCTAGCAGAGCATGGGATCTTTTTGAGCAGACTGAGTCTCACCTGAGTTTTTTGACTTCTAATGTACATTCTGATGGGTAGTGCCATCAGTTGGTACAGGATGATGATGAACCTGTGCTGTCCTCACTTATGTGAAGCAAAAAAAAAAAGGCACTGCAAAACCAGACCACACTCAAGAGGTACTTCAACCATCTCCTCACTTGCAGGATTGATCAGTGACTGTCATCTATGCAAGAGAATATCCAGAGCTGTGAACAAACCCAGATATTGCTATCTCCTCAGAAGAGTAGAAAGTGAGATTCCTCTTGGGGTGCCCAGTAAATGGACGAGAAGCAGCAAACAAAAGTTGTAAAAAGGGGAAATTCCAATCAGATATTAGGAAAGAAATGCTACTCTCAGTGAGGGCTGTCCAACAATGGAACAGGGCCCAGGGATGCTGCGAACTCTCCATTTTAAGAGATGTTCATAACTTAGCTGGACAAGGTCCTGAGAAATCTGATTTAAATTGAACTACTTTAAGGAGAAGGACAAAGTAGATAAGAATAGATAAGAACAGATCTCTTCCAACTGCAACTATTCTGTTACTCTAAGAAATACAAGCTTGCATTAGTCAGCTCTCCTCTCTCCATCCAGTACTGCAATACCCATGTAGAACAACCAGCAATGTAGGACACAGTGCTCATCTGCTAATGTTTCCTAGCCTAAAAAAAAGTGAAGAATTGTGCCCTATCGTTTCACAGAAGACAGTCAGGCCAAATCTACGATGAAATGGTAGATGCCAGGTCTATTCTTTATATCATCATAATAATAGTTTGGCCAGTTTTGTAATTAGGCTAATTCTACTAAATAGTTATTTCTTGTATCAAAAAAAAAAAAAAAAAAAAAAAAAAGGAATTTTTATTTGATATTAAATAATTGCAACAAATCCAAATACAGTGAGAGGCGTATATTACAAAGGAATTTAAGAGCTTTACAAGAGACGTGAAGCGTGTCCATTACAAAGAGCTTTCTGTATAGGATTTGTAATGGTATATTCATGTTAAAACGAGTTCAGTATGTTTTTAGTGGAAAAAATAGTTCATGCCACAGACAAAAATAAATCAGCCTGGGAATTTCCTTTGTTGGAAATTAAAGTATCTCACAAAATTATTAATAGCTGTGTATCTTCGTGATGCTAGTGAATTTTACTATGAAATTGAAATGTGTTAGAGGGTTTGATATCTATTCTTCAGCATTCTGACAAGAAAACAGTGGCTTTTTTCTATTTATCTTTTTAGAAAGAAGGAGAAATGCTCAACCATTTAACCTCAGAAGTGTCTGATGGCACTTTCCACAATCAGCACTGACAGCTCAAGGATGAAAGGTATAGTGTATATCCTAGTTATTCAAGGGTTAAAAAAGGTCCCATAAATAAATTATGGATGCATTTTTAGAGCACTTTGCTAAGAACAAGAATGGCAGAAAATATCACAAGGCTGTCAAATCAGATTAAAGCCCATGTGCTCGGAGTAATCTGTGGGGAAAACTAACAAACTGTATGTTTGTCACGTATTAAAGATATTTTCTTAAAAAGCCAATTGGCTGAATGAACATAGAAATCCACCCTTGCTTTTTCCTCACCTCTTACTGTTTATCTCCTGCGCTTAAAATGCAACTTACAAAATAGTTGGGGCTAATGACACATCCCAGGTTAGAGAAGGCTTGGTGAAGAGCAATGCTGTGCAATCAAGTGTGTGCATTAATGTAAACATGTGGATAAAAATTCATACTGAGTAGATGAATTTTCTCAGCAATTTTTTCTTAAGCTGGTCACTTGGATGCCTGGAAAACATAACTATGCATCTTCTGTTGTTTCATAACATGTAGGCAGAAGACTTGATCTTCATGTACCAGAATTGGAAGGGTATGCATAAATCTCTCTGAAGGACAGAACTACTGTGAAAGCAATTTACAATCTGTTAACCCATTGTCCTAAAAATCCAGAATTTGAATCAGGTAACCTACAAAAAGATAAAAGATGTGATTACAGAACAGGTTCCTGTCAAGTAATTTTGCCAAGAGGGACAAGGTAGACTGGTAGAAAGGATAAGAACTAGCTCTGAATAGAGCTGGATTAGCCAGTTCTTAGCCTGGATACATCTTCTGGCTACCACAACACTGCCTGTTGGACTAATAGCCTGGCAAATAGCCCTGCGCCCTCTCTGTCTTATTTTTCATGGGAAGAAAGTCAGTGCATTATCTACACAAGTCAGTGGATAGACTTGTGTATAGTAGATAGAGCTGGACAGTTTTTTATGGGGAAAAGTAAAGTGCTCAGATGTACTGCAAATTGCCTAAGCCCACTTGTGTACATGGAAGCTACAGGGACAGCATTTCTATCCTCAACCATTCAGCAGAGCAATTAACTTTTCTGCATCAGTTTTAAAGGGTGAGAGAGCTACACCGGGCCATAAATTCATCTTTCAGCCTCACATGCTATTGGATTCAGCCGTAATCATTGGTGACAAAGCAAACAAAAGATTTCAGTTTGATAGATGAACAGTATTCAGCAGAGAAAGGAAAGAAGGAGCAACTGAAATCCATTCAGTGAATGACATCTTAAGATATAGGATCGGTAATGTGTTAAATTCTTGAGGCCAAATCTAAAGAGGTAATTAAATGCCTTGTAATTAGAGTAAGATGCCTAAGATGTTCTTAGATCAAGAGTAAGAAAAGGATGTTCAGTTTAGTCTTAAATTATCTCTCTATTGGGCTGTGTTGGAGACATGTGTGAGACTTGGATTGGATCCCAAAGCTTTCTCTTTCCTTTATTTCCCTAGTCAAGTGTGAATAGGCAGATCCATACAGCCAACCATTACCCTGAGGCAAAGTCCAAGCAGAAGGGTACCAGTAAGTACAACAGAGCTCAAGGAAGTCCATAGGCAAGCTTGTGCAGTTCTGTATTTGCATCCAAAGGAAGAGATTTGTGGCCCAGTGCTGTCTCACAGAACTGTTTTGTTTGTTTTTTTTCTTTGTGATAGTTCTTTACTTTTTTATGTAAACAACTTTTAGCAATGTCTTTCCTTGTTCACTGCAGGTTGGCCTACCTCTACTAAAACAGAGTCTCCCAGTGAGGGTGTAGTTTGTATTTCAGAAGATAAACAGTTTCTAAAAATTAAAGCATTCTTTACATGGTGTACCTTTCATGTATATTTGTTTTCTGTCTACTTTATACATTCTGCTGTGATTTAGTAGAATAAAACTATTTTAAAAAACATTGTCATGGTGACTATCTCTTATTACTAGATTAGTCTTAGTAGATTAGTAGATTAGTCTTAGTTTTTCAGAAGCCCACCCAGAGCACTAATGAGCATTTCCCTTTGAATTCCCATTCATTTCAATGGGATCAGGATTTCTCCCAGTGCTGCTTACGTACATAAACCCATGTAGGATTGGGCCATGTTTA